ATTCATTGTTGTTGTCTTTTAAAGTAAAAATAACTTAAAAAGGATAACAGAGCAAATAAATATAAATTTTTGAAACCCATTAGCTGATATACAGTATTCGAAATACTCAGATTTTTTTTGGCGAAAGAAAACAACATTTGTGAGGAGAACAAACTAATTTCCAACAATTTCAGAAACGAAGTACATTTTGGGTACAGAAACTGATGAGAGTTGCTTTCAAAGTTATTTTAGTGCATTAAAAAGATCACAAGCAATAAAAAATCCCACGATGCGCATCTGATTTTATTCGTTGAAGAGCCTCATGTTTTCTTTCATTTTTTTTAGAAATTCTGAATAATGTCAAGAATATTTCTAGATTTTTTGTTTTTGTTTTTGCTGTTGTTGCAGATTTCGCTGAATGGCTACATTGGCTTCAGTGATCATCTGCGGACAATCCATGGGTACCCACTTCACTTCCCGACGGAAACGTGGCCGGAAGACAATGACCCAGCTTTCATTGGACCTTTTTTCTCCGAATGCCGCATCGGGAAACTTAGAGGAGACGAGCGAGATTTGCGGAAACCCGGAATTTATTACAGGTTTGCTATTTAAATTATGAGATATGACATCTTTTGTAGATTGATCGCGATCTAAAAGTCGAGTAAACGGTGAATCCGTGTCAATTTTTCAAACTTTTCGTGTTAGTTGCCAACTTCAAATGCAGCTTCTTATTCAGGCAGACATTCCTCAGGACATTTTTATTTTGTACTCTCCATGCTAAATAAAATGGCATCAAAGACCAGTGTATACAGCAATTAAGTTATGTAAGCTAGGTCAAGACTTCGTGTGTGTCTTCTGACCTTGAAGAATTGCAGAACATACAAGAAATGCGCTCCCTTAATCTCTGATGAAGAGAACGGAAAGTACTTTTTACATTTTTCCCTATCGTTTTTTTCAATAGTTTTTAAAGAATTTTCCTTATTATTTTGGCAGAGTTGAGAGAGATTTGCGAACAAGAAAAGATAGATTCGGATTCGAGCTGCACGAAAGACTGCTTTGGGACATCCGCGAAGGAATGATCGGGGCTGAGATTTTTGACCCGAAACACGCCTTCATTGTGACCTGGAAGAATGTCACTTTCAACGGAGGTCAGCAGCCCAGGGCTCAATACGTGGTACGCCTCTTATTTATTGTGTTGATGGAGAAAAACAATCAACATTTTGCCTTAATCGCGTCATTATTTTATTTTCCAATAAGACGAACACATTTCAAGCAGTTATCGCCACGGACGAGGTCATGACCTATGCCATAATGAATTATGAACATCTCGGCTGGACGACCCATACTGGAGCTGGTGGGTCAACTGACGACGGTCAAGGAGGCACTCCTGCTTTCGTGAGTTTGAAAAAGAACGGATTGAAAAAGTTATTTCAAAATTCTTGTAAAGCAGCGTGTCCTACATTAGAAGTCCATCTTTTCCAAATCCCGAGTTTTTTTTTAACTAATGAAGATGTCGTTCCAGTCGTAGACAGCCTGATGTAACGATAAACGACAATAATATAAGCTTCATGTGACCCGCGATTCAATTGAAAGTTTGTGAAACTAGTTTGAAATAAATTCTGGCGCCAATTATTCATTGAAAATTAAAAAATAAGACTATGGAGTACAGTACATGCTAAGCATCTATGGTATTCACCCATTCGACATACTTTGTTCCTTCGTATCCTGCTGTCTTGAAATGTGGACAGATGTCACTGGCAGTTAGTGCAGATTGCATCATATTTCCTAATGTTAAGCATTGCAATTACCGTCTGCTGCATTTCACAGCATGTTATTGATTTCACTGAAATAATTTAAATCGATCGTAATTCATTTTAAGTGACAGCCACGGTTTACTGTGTAATAAATTTAGGTTATCTCGCTCACAACGAAGGATTTACTGTGACCTCTAAAACACCTTCAATCTGAAAAAAAATATGTTTAGAAAGAATAAAAATAGCATTATTGCTATTGGATAGGAAGGGAATAAACAAATTCGCTGTAAGAATTAATTCGTTATAACGCGATTAGTTGTAACGAGAATCTATCCCATCGTAAAATCACGGACTCGGCGCATGCCACGGCATCTAGCTGAAAGATTCGGTTACACTTTCTGTTGCTCTCTGGCTGATTGTCTTTATGCGCATATAGGTGTCACTAGCATACAAATGTGGCATCCGTCTGAAATAAACAAACCCGTGAAATTTCTGTCTCCGAGTTTAGAATGATGGTTTTACAGCTAGTGGCAAGTACAGTAATTTAAAACTTCAGCATCAGTGACAACATGAATAAACTAGCAGTTTCACGGGGCATTCAAATATTCAGAGATTGGAAAAGGAACACAGATACTGTATTCGGAAAAATAAAGAAACTTTTAAATTTATACCCAGTATGTACCATATAAAGCTATCAGTTCTTTCTTTAAATCCTTATCTGCTTGTTGTTTCAGGTCGGTTTCAACGCTGGCAATGGAACTCGAGCCTACGAGTACTTGCCGTACTCGCAGAGAATGCAAATTCGAGATTTGCCGAGTTACGGAGGTGCCAACGGGAAATTGGGCAGACACATTTTCCGCATTGATGAGCACATTTTTCCTGGATCTTGCAACCCTGATCCACGTGAGAAATATGCCTTATTCTTTTAAACTCACTCATGTATATAATTAGGACCTTCTATATATTATTCATCAATATTTACATAACATTTAATCTTTACTCCAACAGCGACGAAAACGAAAACGAGTCGCCAGTAAAGTCGCCGTTTAATAATTTATTATGCTATGTTCTCAATGAATGCGGAAATACAGTATTTGAAAAATAAATTGTGCGTTTTAAGGATTTAAAAAATTGCTTTGTTCTGAATTATTGTTTCAAACTTAATTCAATTTTGTGTTGCTGGTCCCAGCTTGAAGTTCGACTCAAAGCTGAGGTTCGAATAATGTATTAGCTGGAAAATTTGTTAACAAGGGAATTGGCTATTTTTATTAGCCAAGAGTTCATTCTAGACAGTATTTTGTGTGAAAACTGTCAGAGCAAGAATGACGTTGAATATGATGCCAGCAATCTAGACAGCATTTTTGACATAGAGCCGATGACGAATGTTTCACAGAGCGGACGAACCTGCCATTGTTCTTCGCGCCCGAATCCGGCAACATGCTCGGCGGCACTGTCGTCAACGTGACAGGCCCTTGCTTCACGCCCAAGCAAAGAGTGACGTGTCGATTCGAGGATTGGGAAGTGGAGGGAATCGTCAGAGATGCCAATAGAGCCACTTGCATCACACCACCAGGGATGAAGACTTCCGGATACATCGACTTCCTCATTTCTCAGGATGGAGGACCGTTTTACTGGAAGGGAAAATTCTTCATTGGTGATTATTAATTCATTTTTTTATCCTTATTGATTGACCAAAAATAATTTATTTTGGTTAGTGTGAATCAGTATTCCCCAACCTTTTTGGGCTTGCAGATGACTAGCAAATTTCTATAAACTTTTTTGCAAACTGGAAAATTTTCAAAAAATTTTCTGCAGACTGTCAAAGTTTCATAAATTTTTTGCAGACTCAAATTTTTTTTAAGACTTTATGGGAGGGATTTAAAAAGTTTCTGCTTTTTTTCAAAAATTAAGTCAAGAACCAACAAAGCAGCTACAATGGAGTTCTTTAAAAAATTTAAAAAGGTGAGCTTGAAGAAAGGTTTCTCAGAATGAAAAATTTAGAAACTTCTATGGACCAGTGCTGAACCACAGGCAACAAGTTGGGAAACACTGGTTTAGATAACTTAAACTTTAAAAATTGGTTACCAGACTCACCAAAAATTCTAAAATACATTTAATTATAGTGTACCAAAATTTGAATAACCTTGTGATTATTGAGCAGGGATCTTTATGAATAATTCGTTTTAAACAAGCGTATTTTACAGCAAGAATTTTAAAATTCTCAAATTATTGCTGATAAATGGTTGGATTATTATTTTTTTTCCTCATAGAAACGCCGATGACAGCCCCTGAAGGAGTTTGGTTTGATGACATGAACTACCAGCTAAAAGAGCCCGAGAGGCTCAATCTCAAGTGGGACTGGAAAAATTTGACTTACAGTCAAGGAGCCCAAGTGCAAATCTCATTGTGGGGCTACAAAGAAGACCAAATTGAGCCACAGTTGACCTTCATTGACATGATTGAGGCAAGTAGTACAGCATAACAGTTATCCATGATGAGAATGTGTATGTATGTACAGGTATCTCAATCTAATTCCATTCAGGTTGCTTCCACTTCAAAAACAGGGTGTACTCAAATCCATAATTACCTTTTTCATTGCATATATGTCTTGGAATTTAGTTTATCTTCAGCTGACTTGTGTTTTGATGTTGTTATTTTATGTCACTGGTAAGTTAGCTGACCATTACTACTTTTGGCATTCATTCAAACTGAAAAGTCAAATTTCCAGCATATAAAAATGAACATATAAACTTACTTGACCAATTATATTTTTTAAATTTGTGATTTGTAAGTTGGACATTGAGACATGCATCAGAAGCCTCCACAGGTTTAATATAAAAATAAAAATAAACAATATTGAGCTAGGTTAGATTAGTTTTGACATGGTGTGGACACTTGCTGTTATTGACACCTCCTAAAAATTCAATAAATTATTTTCTCCATTATGCAGGAAAGTTTGCCAAACAGAGGTGAACTGGAGATTCTCCCGGCTGATTTCCTGAATCGACGCAATTTGCCCCAATTGCTGGACATCACTGTTGGCTTGTTGCAAGTCAATCTGACAAATCCCGTGGCAACAATGGAACTTGACCAGACTCCGTAAATATCCCAATAAATATTACATATGCATTTAAATTATAATACAGTAACTCAAACCTGCTCAAGTCAAATATCTCCGTATGTAAAATGTTTTTCAAGTCTCTGTCTGGATTTCCTTAGAAACAAAGCAATGAAAAGCCTGCACAGCTCAGATACTTTATGCAAAAAACCTCCATTACTCTAATTTTCTGGAGGCCTTTTGGCTATTGTTTCATTGACACAGGAAAAAAACAATTAAGAAAGGGAATAATATGTGTTTTGAAAGCAAGTAAAAGACTATAATTGGGCAAATGAACCACTGCCTCCAAGTTTAGCATCCTTTAAACCCATGTAAGAAATATTTAACCCTTGGATGGTCAAGGGTTTCTGGCCATCCTGCAGCAAAATCAGGACTTTTTGGGGGGTGGGGGGATGGGCATTTAAATTTGACCAAAGGTCACTGAAATACCCCCAGGTTCCCAAGGTTTTAGTCAAGAAAAAATCTGGGTGCAGAAAATCCTGTTGTCTCAAGAAATCCTGAATGTTAATCTTATGCTGGGAATGCATGAAAAAACGCAACCCCAAGAGGAATTTTTTTTAAACCAAAATTTTCTCCAAGATTATAAAAAAAATTGACTTTTTCTTGACTTAGGCGTTGGTTCAAAAATCATATAAATTTTGCAATTTGCAGCCCTCATGGGGTCAATATTTTTCAAAAATAGCTTGAATTTGTCCCACAAGAGCTAAGAAGGTCCAAAAACATTCCCATTAACAATTTTGTGTGATTCTCTTATTTTTCTCAAAACAAAAATTCTTGGTTTGGTAACTCAAGACTCTATATAACTCAAAACCTCCCATGAAGTAAAAATGTTTTTGCTGGTCCCTGGAAATGCGACCTATTGGGGAGAGGTTCGACTGCGTATACAATGCAAACATTTCGATTTTATTTTATTTATCTTAATACCTATATGTGTCGTCTTGGTTTTGTGTCTCTCATCAGGGTTCTCTGGAGCAGGCCCATCCCTCTGGCCTGGTATTTCGGGCCGCAGTGGAAACGCAAGCACGGCAAGAACTGGGCAGAGAGCATGTGCCAGGATTGGATAAACTTCGACAGGGAAATGAAGCTGTTTGCCTACGAGGTGCCCAAGTGCCCGTGTCTCATCAGACAGGCCATCGCATCCAAGGCCTTCTACGTGCCTGACTTTTCTTGCGACAAGGACGGAAACACGCAGTGCTACTTCCACCAAGGAGCCCAACATTGCATCAGAACAGGGATGGCCAAGTGAGATACGATACGATGGGGTTTTCTGTTGTTGTTGTTGCTGTTTTGTTTTAGGTTTTTATTTATTTTTTTTATGCGTGCCAACTTCGAAATACTGGAATAGAACAGACGGAGAGCATAGTGGAGAACTGCTAATGGAGCAGGTTTTTACGCAATAAAAATTGCCGGAATTCAGAATTGACCGCAAAGATGTCGTAATTCAAGTCACCATATTCCGAGAAATCTCCTGAATTCAAAATAAGCAATTTATTGTCAGGGGATTTTTATTCGCTATATAACGCTTTTTTTGTATCTGGCTGATAATTGATGTCATCAGAATCATATCAGATTGGATGGAAAATAAAATAAACCAGCCAAACCCGTTTTAATTTACACAAAACGCAGCTGACGATTTAAAAAAAGAAATGCCGGTGACAGCTTTGCGATGGCAGAAAAATCCGGATTTTTTTTTTTGCTTGAGCTTCGAAATTGATCAGATGCAATCGCATGACCTGGAAGTCTAAAAAAACATGTGACATAAAATGGGTTCGTTGCAGTTTGTCTTTTTGTGTGTGTCTGAGCCCTCTTAGGACTCAGCACAAAACCAGCCGAAATGCGAGAGGTTTCAGAATTGCTGCACTAGGCTCAATAAGAAACCTTTGTTATGATTGATTTGTTTGTAATTTTCACAGCAAAGACGCAGCTGGACAACAATGTTGCTACGATCGAGACGGGTACTTGATGATGACGACGGACAACAAATGGGGTGGGAACCCTCAACGGGCTCACAACCAAGGAATGATGCCCTACATAGAAGCGAACAAGGTGGAGAAAGAAGTTCCTTTCTAATATTTTAGTATCAATTTTAATTCTTTTTTTTTCAATTAAAATTCCTTTGCATTTCCGACCAAGGTTCCGAGTCTGTCCCACTGGGCACTCGACGTGTCGCCCTTCTACATGTGTTGCATGTGGCAAGATGAGCAGAGTGACGGGTGTGAGACTTACAGGTTCGAGAGAAGGCATTCCCAGGACTGTGTCGGGTTCCAACCCCCTGGAGCAGGTGAGAAAAACCTTGTTCGCAGCAGTTTATTATTATTTTTTTTCTGAAAATGTTCCTCTTTTGAACTTGGGTTAAAATGTACGTCAAATTAAATTTATATTTTATATTGTTTTTTTTTTTATTTGAATTGAGTTTTTATTTATAAATTTATTTTACACTTTTATTTAAAATTGAATTCCAAATTAAATTGAATCGATTCTCCAACTGAATTTCTGCCTAAAATTGCATTTTATTTCATGTTAAATTTACATTTATAATTAGATTATTTTTAAAATTGCATTTCTATTTTTGAATTTATGCTTGCATATGAACTCATACAAAACTGAATTTAATTATAAAACTGCATTGCTATCCCTTTTTTAAATCTAAAATTTGAATTCTGTATGAAATTTGCATTTATTTTAAAACAAATTGCATATTTTGAGTTTAATACCTATATTTGATTTTTATTCACAGCAGTTTTTAATGGAAATTTTTCGATTTTTTTCCCGTTGAGGCATATTTTGGGATTCTGGAACTCATTATAGTCACATGCAGTCAACCCCCGTCTAACAGACTTGATTCATGCAAGGGACGAGTCTGTTAGACAAAAAGTCCTTTACATGAATTCAATTACATAAAAACTTAAAAATTTCAATTTTCAACACTAATTTTAAACCAAAAGAAGTCTGTTTGGCGGATTTTGTCCTTTGGGCAGGAGGAAAAACTGCTTGCAGAGCTGGTCTGTTTGGCAATAATCCCTTACACAGGAGGTCTGCTAGGCGGGGG